TTTGCTTCCTTGCAAAGCAGACATGGATGGGTGTTTCCATGCTCCTGTTTCCTGTTCTCCTGTTGAGGGCCTGCCTCAAATTCTCACCCCATCCCTGGGTAGAAACCTTCTCAATGATGTCTAGTTTCTTAGCCCCTCAAATGTTTTGGCCTGCAGCTTCTAGTATCCTTCACATTGGCTATGCTGGCTGGGGTTGATGGGGATGATAAGCCAAATTATCTTTCATGTATGTATCTGTTTCCATGCCATCCCTTAGCGGAAGATCTCTGGGTGGTTTATAACAATCCATACGCAAGATGATAAAAATACCATAAAAACAGAAAAATATGGAAAAATTCAGAACAGCTAAAAACAGCAAAGAATCGCTGTGTCAAAGCTTGGGATGGGGAATCTCCTCAGGCCCCGGGTGTTCTGGCAAGTTTTAAAGGCCTCAGCATTAATCTGGCACTGAGGATGACAAAGCTGGGGCCAGGCAAGCTGCAGTGGGAAGACGGTTCCATAAATGGGGGGCCACCACTGAGGAAGCCCTCCCCTTGCTACCCGCCTCTGAGCCTTCCTTGGAGGTGGCACTCAAGGAAGGTCCCAGAGGTTGAGTGTAGTGTTTGAGCAGATTGTGGTTAGGAGAGGTGCTCCAGCAGGAATTGTGGTCTCAAGCCGTGTAAGACTGTATAGGTTAAAACCAGCACTCCGGCAAATCGCTATATAGAAAGTGGCAGTTGTGTGAAAGGCTATATGAAAAATTGATTTGAGTTCCTATTTTATATGGGTTCAACCCACAATGCACACCTTGTGGACCAAACAAACCCTCGGATACAAGACACAGCCGAAGTCTGCGTGTTGCCACACGGGCAAGGCAATGTACGGTTCTTGAACACGTTTAGCAGCATACTTTTGAAAAACGTGTACAACTAGGCTTGAACAGTGGAAGAAGAATGCATACATTTCAAAGCTGTGCACAACTGATGCATACCCATGGGAAAATATTCATGAAAATGCACGTGGCTGTTTGTAAGCCGCCCCGAGCCTTCGGCGAATGGGGCGTCCTAGAAATTTTCTAAATAAATAAATGTAGAATGGAAAACAAGGCATGCTGTCTCTTACAGACTTGAGTTGGAATGAGCTTTGGGAAGGAATGTGGAGAGCTTTCGTGGGTGCGGCTGGAGGCCACTTGGTGCCTGAAATCCAGAAGTGGGGGGGGGGGCTGCATGTCCACCATGGTTTAATGGGATTTCTTGCTCCATGCTTCCACCGAAGACTGGAATAGTATTGATTGTTTCCCTTTCCCCATTATATCTTTGGAGCGACCCCCTGATGTAAGTCAGCTGAAAGGCAGTGGTTAAGTGGGGGATTCAAACTCCCAGACCAGCACTCTAACCATTGTACCACACTGTCTCCTAAGGCTGTCATTCTCATTCTTGGCTTATGTCTCTGCCTGAGTGCTTCTGGGAAGGGTTGGTGCCCGGTGAGCTTCCTCTGTCCGTGGAACCCACCAGATCTACCTGGCAGCGGTATTGGGTGGATGCCACACCTGAAGTCGGAGGACCCGTTTCCATGTTTCGCAATGCCCCAGAGTGGCGTTGTATGGAGGCATCCGGGGACTGGCTGGCAGCGAGGGTCACCTGAAAGGGTCTCCTGCCTGGGTGCCAGCAAAGGAGAAAGGGGGCACCATGGCAGTAGCAGTGTAGGGCCTTAGCAGCTGCCCAGACATGCCAGGTGGTGGGGCTGACCCTGTCCTGGGCGAGGAACTAGTGTGTTGACCCAGCCAGGTACTTCAAATGGAACCTTCAACAGACCAAGGAAAAGATGGCGTGGGGCAGCAGGAGGCAGAACGAATCCAGAAAACTTGCCATGGCAAAACAAGTCCTGTGCCACTGCTGAAGGCGAGGAAGCGGAGCACTGAAAGCTGCAGGGACCTCAGGTTCAATGTGGCAGCCCCCATGGTTGGACTGCAGGCTTCATCAAACACCCTCCGAGTGCCTAGCTAATCAAATGAGGGAAAACCCCACCTAGGAAGCAAAGGGTGCTACACAACCAGAGCAGAGAGGCCTGTTAAAATGTCTCATTTAAGGTAGAGTCAGCAGAGGCAATTCAGAGAAGAAATCGGTTCTCTCTGGCCGGTTTCTTGTCGTATCACTTGCGTTCCTTCCCAAAATAACTTGGTTTTGATGCCTACAAATTCTATGCAACCTAGTTTCAGTCTTTCGAAAGTGTGCAATTCAGGAGGGGGCTCCAGGCAGGGTTTGCATCCCAGGCAGAGGTGTCTGCCAGCCCAGTTGGACCTGAAGCAGATGTGTGTGTCAGAACCGAGTAGAAATGCGATCCCAAAGCACCCACCATCGGGCGGGGGGAGGGGGAGAAGACAGCAGCCTTGTTTGCATGCCATAAGAAGCTATGATGATGTCTTCCCTTGCTGGTCTTTCATCTTGTCTGGATCCAGACATGTCATTTCTTCATGGAAACCATGGAGAGAACCAATGATCTGCTCTAAGGTTTCCATGCTTTCCTGCAGCTTCTCTGGTTGTCTGGATCTAGAACCTCCATTTTACCATTGTGAATATGGAGAAACCATAGAACCCTGTGGAAAGAGTGGCTGTGGAAGGGGCTGCTCAGCCATCCATTCTCTACTACCCTCAGCTGCCTAGCGACACACGCATCATCACCTGCTTCGTTCCTATTGGCCAAGCGATGTGCCTGTCTCCATGTTTACTTTCAGAAAGAAGGAGAAAGTGGATAAATGCACAAAGGGAGGAGAGGGAAATTGTAGCAAAAATGTTTATTATGATTGAATAAAAAATATCTGGGGAGCTAGAGTGGCAGGAAAACATTGCAGAGTTGCAGATACATGTTGGAGGGGCAAGAGGGAGAGCCCGCCTCCAAGCCTCAGTGGACAAATCAGGGTGAGGCTGCTGTGGACCAATAGTTAGTGCAAGGGAAGCAGTTGCACTCGTGGGGGATGCTGGGATGCATGGTGAGAGTGGAAGGATGGGGCAAGGAGCACAGAATCAGGGTTGCCATGGGAACTGTGCATTGGTTTGACCAGTGCATTCCGGCAAAAATCTGCATGGCTTGTTTGCCATAGTGTGGAAGCCCTACCAGTCATGAGTGGTGTAGTGGAGCCAAGACACCCAGAGATGCAGCTCTGGGTCATTTCTTTAGCAGGGTTGCCGACTTCATTGGCTACTGTCCACAGAATCCCCTTTTCCCTTGGAGCATAACTGCAGTTCCCATTGCCGCTGAGGAGAAATCTCTTTCCTCAGCAGCAGCACCCAGATATTCCATGTTGCAGTGCAAAGTCTTTTGAGTAGCTTGGTCTTGACTCTGCAATCCATACCCATAACTCCCCCCCCCACAAAAAAACAAAAACAAAACAGACTCTTGATCAAATTGGTTTGTTGCCAAGGATCAACACAACGATCTGAATTTGTAGACTCTTCTTGGACACCCTCGTGGTTGAGGAGACCTTCAAAATGTACTGCTGTAGTGGGAGGTACCATGCTCAGGAAGAATTGCAAACTCCAAGTTCAGGGCTTCATGGGGCCTCATGGACAGGGGTTGGTCTTTCCAGAGCTCCTGGGCAGGATAAGACTACAGCTGAGGTAATGCATTAAATGCAACAGTTGCCAGGCATCTTTTTCTTGTGGGAAAGAACAGGATAGCGGAGGAGGTCGGGTGCTGGCAGCCTGATTCAAGACCCAACCCAAGTATACACCATGTTGCATTCTTAGCAGCACCAGCAAAAACGGAATATATCCCGTCCGTTCTTGTGGACTAATTCTAATATCATATTGTGGAAGAGAACAACACGGGTCTTTCAGTCCATAGGATGGGGAACCAGGGGCCCATAAGCCGGGGCAGTTCCCAAAGCAACCTTATCCAGTTTCCACTGGAACTACCTATTTTTAAGCAAAAGGTAGTAATGGGCATTTTACCTAAGGGTGCAATTACAAGAAACATGTCGTGTTTTCCCTTCTATAACATTTAGTCTGTTTTCCTTCTCTGCTTGCTGCCAGCCACTCCCCTGACTGAGTGATGAAAGGGAACAAGTAGGGTAACAAAAACGGGCTTTTTGTACCTTGGTTCATAATACATGAAAACAGAACCAAATCACCCCCATTTGGTTCGATATTTCACTTCTCGTGAAATGAATGCAAACCCCCTATACATTAATCAGCTAAAACTTGCTTGTCTTTTTCCTGCTTAATGAAGGGAGTATTCTTAATGAAGGGAGTATCCCTTCTAGGCAATCCCAACCCTCCTTCTGCATAAATGCACATGTTGTTCATAATCCATGGAAATCCCGTTTTGAACTAATCCACCGATCTCAAAAGCATCCACTTCTTCCTTTCATCCATTTCTACTTTCTTTACCTTGTCCACATTAAGGACAACTAATGGAACACTGTTGACCAAATAGCACTGACCTCTGAATACCTTCCTTTGCTGGCTGTAGTTCAATAACAGTTTTCAGATATTCACTCTGAGAAGCAATAAAGTATAATTAAGCCTGTTTTAGCAAGACAGGGACAGCGCCTTGAATTCTCGAGAGAACCTACTGCTGAGGACCTCCTGGGGTATACAGAGAAAATGTGTGGCTTTACTCTAAGGCAAGACTGCTCCTTCAGACAACTGAAGCCCTTTGGCTGAGTTTCAACCAGCTGCTTCTGCTGGTTTCTTTCACTCTGTTTTGCTTTGCTTGAAACAAAAAATGAAGGTCAAAATCTCTAGAATGTGCTGATCTCCAAGCATTTCACTTTGGAATAATGACGAGGAGGAGGCAGCATCTTGACTCTAATAACTGGAAAGTCTTTCTTCTCTGTGGTAGGAAGAAAGTCTTGCCGTGAAATGGCCTTCATCCAACCTTTTCTCCACCTAATTTTTATTATAATTATTGTTAAATTAATTTTGTATGTGTTTCTCTAATTTGGGAAAGGTCGGCCAAGGAATTGGTCGCCCCTTCTGATGGCCTCATTCACACAGCATGATTTTCTGTTTCTTTTCTTTTTCAGAATGGTTTTCTGCACTGTTCATAAAAGTGGAAGATCAGATAACCCCAAGCAGGGATCTGCAGAACCTACAGTCATTTCTATTTCTGAGTCCGCTGTAATGGAGCCAGGTTAGCAACCCCTGTATTTCAAATTGAATTGGTATTGCCTGGACGCTAGCTTTGCTTCTGTTGTGGGAAATTTGGATTCGAAGGTAACATCTGGAGGTTCTATTTTTGTTTCAGATTTGAACAGTGGGGTGGTACTGCTTGGGATCCATTTGCAATAAAAACTGGAAAGGCTGAATTTCCAAACAGAGGTCCATAAATCCACTTGCCAGCCAGCTGGTGGCAACTCTTTCTTTTAATATGATAAATGCCTTCTTCAGATCAGAGTAAAACATGAATGAAGGTGTCTACTACCCTAAAACTAGTTAGACTAAGCAACGAGACCTTAAAAGGTTTGGGTTCTGAGGACTTGTAGACACCAGGTGAGATTGATTGCTCCTCTAGTCCAGCAGTGATTACCTCCAAATTACTCCCCCCCCCAAAAAAAAAATGGAATTTGCCCTTTTGTTAGGCTGTGGCTGCAGGAATCCTGAGCTAAAGAAAGGAAATTCCCAATCTGCTTATGAGTAGGGATGGGCAAAACAGTCTGTTTCCATTCCACATCATCTTCACACTCTCCTCTATCCAATTTCAACACCAGTCTTTAAAATAATCAAAACTCCTGCATATTTGCTTTTATTTTCATGCAAACTTTTATTTCATTTTTTATTTTTCTGGCATGATGATTTTTATGCAACTTTCCCTAGTGTGTTGCTGTACACATTTCTGAATCCAGTGTTTGAGTATCACAAAATTTCAAAGAGTATGCAGTCTGAAATATAACTGCAGCCCAATCCAAACAGTAGTTTGGGAAATATGAATTAGGTCGGTTGGCTTAAAAATGCAGGCTAGACTAAAAAGCCTCCCATCCTGTCTTTGGGTAGGGTTGTTGAAGTCCAGTACACTGACCAAAAAAATCAATGACTTTACTGATGTTTGGTAATTAAACCTTTGTGCAAAACTCTAATACTGAATGGGAACTTTTGAGAAATTAGTCCCATTTTTATCAAGATTGACCCAGTTCACTCAGTCAGGAAATATCTGTGGTTGAACTCTATGCATGCCCAAGCTTGCAGCGTGATTCACAGGCCAAAAAAAAGCTGTTTGACACAATGCATACATTTGAAAAATGTGCACAAATACATTTCAGTCAATGGGAGAAAAAAAGCACACATTTCAAGTCATGACCAACTGATCTTGGAAAATGCACATGAGTTTTCCTGCCAAAAGGAAAAAAGCAAAGCTTGCAATCGGCCATGAACTCATGCCAGAACAAGCTTTGAGAACAAACCTGGAGAACTTTGGTGAGCCTGTGTTTGACTGATTCACACATCACTGCTACTGAGCTAAAGTTCACCCGCTCGGCAAATGATTCGTTCTGAACAATCAATTTCCATCTGAGCCTCGGCGAGAATTTTCATGCAAATGGGTTGGAACAGCCTGATGAGCAAGCATGTGTGAAGGTGACACAGATGGGGGAAACACAGTCTGGAGTGTCCACCCTAATGTCACAACCTGGACACAACCAAGAACACACCACAATCTGCTTCATGCCCTGTTCCTATCTCCCTGCAGCTCCTGGCCAGCTGCTGTTGGAAGGCAGCATTCTGGGTGAGATGGACTTTTGGCCTGAATCAGCAAAGCAGATTTGGTGTCCTTATGATATGCTTTGATACATGGGCTCTGGCACGTGGAGGAAAATCCACATATTGGAGCAGCGGCATCCAGATGTCGAGATCTGGATTTTACATGGTCCAGAAACTGTTGCCGTAAATACTCCTTTGCGTTGTTGATGTTGTTAGTAAAACAGGGTAATGGTAATCATTATTTACCTGTTCCTTGTCTTTCTGGCAGTATCGTGCCGCGTAGCCTTGTATGGGCAATTAGAATTAATGCGAGCAGCACTTATAAGCTGAATGCCTAGTTTATTTCCAAATGGGAAGGTCAACATCATTATCCTTGGTGGATTCAATTACTAAATCCTGTAGAATCGTAGCACTTACTTTCTGCTTGTTAATCGCATGTAGCTCTGCGTACAATTGTGAGTGTGTGTGTTTTACAAACATAACTGAAGTGAGAGAAAGCTTTTTTCTTCATCACATTATTAACGGTACTCATTCCTTGCCTGTGTGAATTGGTCTTCACTTGCCTCATTTGTTGGTTTATTTTAACATGAAGTGTCTTTTGTATTTAGAATGTGTGTCTGTGCAGAACAAGTTCTTTTCAAAATGCACCCAGTAAAAGAAATGGGGGAAGGATCTGCGTGCTACGAATCCACTGGATGCATCGAAGCCCCCCAAGATCAGTAACAGGAATGCTCTCTTAATTAAATGAGGGCACTCCAAAAAATACTGGAGCTTTTCCCTTTCCTATCGCTCCTGCTCAGAGTTCTAGCCAGCCTGGATAAGCACCTTTGTCCGCTCTCTGGGGCTGGCAGGGAGCATATTTCTCCTGCTTCCGAAAAGCTTCCTTCACTGTGCTATTTAGTGCTTGAGACAGGAAAAGGAGTTAAGGCGCAAAGCCACTGTATTAACTGCTAGTTCCACAAAGCCCCACAGTTTAGACCCCCACATTTTTGCCCTCTGTGGGACGAAGGGAGAGCATTCTTAACATCCAGCACAGTCCTGATAGGGTGGGAATGGGTGTTTCCTGCTCTACTGCTCAGAAAACAACACCAGCAGAGAAAAGCAATCCTGCTGCAGAATTGAATTCGAAGGAACTCAGAAGTTCCCCAGGCAATAAAATGAATCGATCTACTTCTTCTTATCTCAATATGCCATGGATCCAGGAAGCTCACAGGGCCATGGAGGGTGGAAGGAATAATTATTTTATTGTGCTAATGTTTTATTGTAATTAGTGATTCCTGTTTTTATATTGTATTTTTGGTTTTATTGTTGTAACTCACCCAGGGAGCCATGTGGCTAATGGGTTGGGTTAAAAATCCATAATAATAATAATAATAATATATTTATATCCATCTGGCTATGAAAGGAGTCCTTTAAGTGTGCAGAAGCTACCATCTTAATTCTAAGTGGACACATTTTTATTTATTTTATTTTATTTTAATTTGAGTTATATCCCCCCTTTTTTTTAAGAACTCAAAGCGGCTTACATCATTCTCCTGCTGCTCTCAATCTTATCCCCACAACAACCCTGTGAGGTAGGTTGGGCTGAGAGCCCATGGCAGGTGCAAATGCTTCCAAATTTACAGTCCCTCCACAGGACTCACTGTGGGAAGGAATTATCATCATGGTTAGATGAATCCTTCATGTTCAGGACCATTATGCCTCGGAATACCAATTCCCGGCAGCCATCAGCAGTTCAACCTGCTTGCCCCTTTCTTGACAGCCTCTGTCTGACAGAAAGCCAATGTGGTACAGTGGTTAGAGCACTGGACTGGGACTCAGGTTCTAGTTGTCACTCAGCCGTGAAGCTCACTGGGTGATTTGACCCAGTCACTGACTCTCAACTTAACCTACCTCACAGGATTGTTGTTGTGAGGATAAATGAAGTGGAGTAGGATTATGTAAGCTACCTTAGGTTCCTAGCAGGAAAAAAGTGGGAAAGAAATATAATAAATAAATACAAACATCTGACTATGAAAAAAACGAAACAACGGAGTCCATGGACCTTTGCTCTGATAACAGCAGGACTCTTTCCGTTCTTCAGACAAGTGGTAGAAAGAGGAGAGGGGTGCTTTGCAGCTTCTGCTGATTACCCTTGGCCAGAATTCATCCCAAGAAAGTGATGCAGCCGCCAGCTTTGCAAATGAAGCTTGTGGGGAGAACCAAGCCAGTACTCTTAGTGCACAAGAAGTCAAGCACTGTAGTTCCTGAGCTTTATTCAAACATAAAAGCATAAAGTCCAGCGCATTACCCAGATTTCCAGCATTCAAGGCAGTCTAAACTAGTGTTGTGATGAAGCTTCCCGGAATCTGCCCCTCTGGCATCCACAAACCGCCTCCCACCTTCAGCCTGGCATTCGTAAACGAGCCAAGCTGAGAGGAAGTCTGTGCATGCTCATGGAACAAAGAAGGTACATGAATGGCAACCTCCTTCCGTGTCATGTACCAGACAAACCAAGGCTGCTACATGTGCCACAGAAGAGACACAGACACGGTACCATGTGTCTGTTGGAGAGATGCTCTTTCTTCCATCTTGAAATCTCACAAAATTGTGGCTTATCCCCATGTTGCCAATGAGCTAAATGAACGAGACCTACATTATTCCTAAACTTTCATAGAGTGCCTCTCTGCTTCCCCCCCTCACCCCACAGATTTGCATCAACTTCAAAGTGAAACTTTTATCTCTCTCTAGATAGGCTTATGTGTGACTGCTGTCACTTTTATTTTATAACAAAAATGTAGTGACACATCCACTAGTCCCAGGGTTTCACTCTTGGGACTTTCATGACATCTCCCAAACCCACAAGCAATGCCTTTATGCAAAATCAAATCCATCACTTCCCTTTTTGATCTTCAGTTTCCCCCAATGGGTTTGGACACACAAAGGACATGTGAAAATGATGCAGAAGAATATTTCTGAAGGTAAAGAAGATAAACTGATGAGGATATCTTGGGAATGGAAGTTTGTCATAACTCTGAAGTTCAACCTCCCTGGGCGACTTTTCACCCAATCCATTGCCAGTTCCCTTTATCTCATACATCTGTGATTTTCAAAAGGTTTCTGCCTTCAGAGAACCGTTATACCAAAAAAAAAAATCTCTCTTTGCAGGGGAATTCATTAGCATTTGTCATGGTACCAGTTCCTACTGCAGAGGATTCTGGGTCTAAGTTCATCTTGGGGCATAGCAGTCGTCTTAATGTGAACTATGAGTATATCCTGGATTGGACTGAACACTTCTCTCCAGCAAGTTTATTTATTTATAACAATCATTATATCTTGCCTTTTACCCTGCAAAGAACCTAAGGTGACTTAGATCATTCCTCCTCTCCATTTTAGCCAGCTTACAAAATTAAGCACTCCATTTTGTTCTCACAACAACAACCCTGCGAGGTAGGCTAG